ATGGCCCCCCTTTTTTGTCCCCCAACTTGAGACGTATGAAGGCTTTTGGTCTCCCTGAGAGTGGGTGGAGGCAGCCAGGGCTTAACTGTACACTGACTTGAGACCACTTAAATGAAAGTATACACTTTTAAAAAGGTGGGGGAAACCATTTTGAAGAACATGGTTAAATCTTCTTTTGCCCAAAAGCCATTTCTAGCTGCTTGTCTCTCTTCCCCATTACTAGTACAGCATATGAACTACATGACTTTGAACTCAATCATACACCATTGCTTATTGGTCACAGTTTCAAAGACCTTGATATAAAATCAAGTCTGCAAACTGAGGCCAGAGATTGTATTTTATCATTTTATATTCAAACATTTCCTAGGACTATTCTGAGCTTGAAATCAATGCACGATAGATTATTAATTAAGAAGTCAAGGGTTGATTAGGATGTTTATTCCACAGCCTCAATGAAAACTGGGTTTCATTAGTGTTTCCTACACACACGCATATTTCTTGTTTAAGGAAAGCTTTCTTTTTTTTCTTTGAGACTCTGTCACCACTCTGTCACCAGGCTGGCGTGCAGTGGTGAGATCTCGGTGCCCTGCAACCTCCACCTCCTGGATTCAAACGATTCTCCTGCCTCAGCCTCCGAAGTAGCTGGGACTACAGACACGCACCACCACACCCAGCTAATTTCTGTATTTTTAGTAGAGACAGGGTTTCATCATGTTAGCCAGAATGGTCTCAATCTCTTGACCTCGTGATCCACCCGCCTTGGCCTCCCAAAGTGCTGGGATTACAGGCATGAGCCACCGCACCCAGACAGGAACTTTTTATTGATATCACCCAATAAAGGAAAGGTAAAATCTTTTGTTCAAGCTACATGGTTTGGGAAAGGGGGGAAAAGAACTTGTGGGCAAAACTTTGATACCCACAAGACGGGTAATGCTGTAATAACTTTATATGCTTAGTTTGGCTATCAGTTCAGTTCAGCTACATCACCCAACTCTGATATCTTAACTACGGGTAAGAATATTCCCTGTGTCACATTATAATGCTGAGCAAATACATAAACTCACTAAGCTGTCACTGGCATTCATTTGAGAAGTGCTTAATAAACATTGGGTACTTGGCACAATACACAATGAGGATAGACAGTCCATGGAGACAGTGACCCTGTGACTAAGATAAAATCCTACAAGGAAAGAGTTATGTATGTATGCACGAATTTTGTCTATAATATAAGCTCAATTGTCTAAGACAGACTGCAAGGGCAATGGTAATTCAGAAAGCCTGGATGTGATCCTGGTGGATGCCAGTGTTTTCTATGAAACTGTCTTTGAAATTTACAGCCATCTGGGTTTATAGTCTTCTTACTTATGTCCCAGAATCTGGAACATCCCATAGGCACCTCTGGGATGATGAAAGGGCTCATGCATTGAAGTCAGACAACCCTGAGTTTGAATCCTGGCTCTCACATATAGTTTTGTGACCTTGGGCACATCATTAATATTTAATCCCTCTGAGGTTTGCTTCACTTTTTTTGTAAAGCTCAGATAATACAAATGCTACAAAGTTGGCTGTACGTGAGATGGCTGTATGTGAAGTGCATAAAATAGTGAAATACACTGTTGAATCCTCAAGTTGTCACTCCCATTTAATATCTAATAAAAAATGCTAGAAGTGGACAGGTGTTGCTTACATGAAGCTATGTAAAACATAAGTAGGGTAAGGAGGTAGTTTCAGGACAAAGGATATTCAGAGTCCATTTTTTCTTCTCCAAATCATTTAGTTTACCATAACTTTTGGGTATAATGGCAGATCAGATTTATCACTCACTCTATCATACTTATTTTAGTATTAAACCTATCTCTCATATCAATGATTTAAGAGATGAGGTCTTGGCTGGGAGTGGTGACTCATGCCTGTAATCCCAGCATTTTGGGAGGCCAAGGCGGGCAGGTCACTTGGGGTCAGGAGTTTGAGACCAGCCTGGCAAAATGTGGTAAAACCTCATCACTACTAAAAATACAAAAATTAGCCGGACATGGTGGCAGATGCCTATAATCTCAGCTACTCGGGAGGCTAAGCCAGGAGAATCACTCAAACCCAGGAGGCAGAGGTTGCAGTGAGCCGAGATCACATGCCATCACACTCCAGCCTGGGCAATAAGAGCGAGACTTCATCTCAAAAAGTCTCACTCTGCTATACAAGCTGGAGTGAGAATGCAGTGGCATGACACGTTAGTAACTTTTTTCTTTTCTTTTTTTTTTTTTTAAGGAATCTTGCTCTGTCACCAGGCTGGAGTCCAGTGGCGTGATCTCAGCTCACTGCAACCTCTGCCTCCTGGGTTCAAGTGATTCTCCTGCTTCAGCCTCCTGAGCAGCTGGGACTACAGGTGTGCACCAGCACCCCCAGCTAATTTTTGTATTTTTAGTAGTGATGGGGTTTCACCATGTTGGCCAGGATGGTCTCCATCTCTTGACCTTGAGATCCACCAGCCTCGGCCTCCCAAAGTGCTGGGATTACAGGCATGAGCCACCGCACCTGGCCTAGTAACTTTTTAAAAGTCATTTCTAAACACACTTCAAGTTCAGAATTGGCTTCCAGAGTTCCTTCACTTGTGCTGAAAACCATTCACCAAAAGCCACCTGGTAAAGAGAATGCTATAAAGTCAAAGAACATTCCATCAGTAATGCTGCATTACTTACGGCTCAATTCAAAGTAACTTTTAAAGGCTGGCTTCCTGGAAGGCTGGTTCTTTATCTCACTTTAGTTTAACAAGGTAGGACAGCTACCTGGTCATCTGCAAAGGCCTCCATGCTCCTTTCAGGATCTGTCTAAATGGGTCTGCATGTATCCTGGGGATGAGGACACTGGTTTCTTACAACAGTGCTTCAAGATTGTATGCATCTCTCATTAAGACAGATTCTGATTCAAGAGATCTGGGGGCAGAGGCCTGGGATTCTAACAAGCTCCCAGATCATGCTGTGCAGCTGGTTTCCAGATGATACTTGACGTAGCAAGGGTCTACAGGGTTAGGACAATCAAGTCACAAACTAAGGAAAACAGTATCCTCTATTCTTGGGGTTCAAGATGAGATTATAGAAACAGGGTAAGACTAATGGAATACAGAGAACGCTTGACTTCCATAGAGAAAATAGATATAAAAACAAAATCTAAGATCTTTTCATATACACAAGGATCAGCACCACTTTCAAGCTGAAAGCATCCTTTCCCATTCCTTTAAACAAAGTTCTTTCTTCTCCTTGATATAAAACATCATTTTTGCTAGATCTCATAGCAGTTTGAGTAGCTGTTAGTGAAAACACACGCCAAGGTGCTGCTAGTGTCTCCTGTTGAAAGAGTATAAAAGAAACACCACACTGCTTTAAAAAGTCTGGAAAAGACGACAGTCATGGCATTAACAAACAGAATAATCGGGCACCAAATGGTTTCTGAAAATCTAACATGCATTCTGTAACTGTCACTGATTTATGTGAAGTCTGACCTTCAGGGACTAAACGAATGAGCAAACCATCTCACTGTCATTTCCCATGTTAAATTCGAGGCTTTATACCGTGCTGATAGGAAAACAATGTGTCCCAAGAAACACTGTGGTCGTGTGGATGAAAGACAGGGCTGGAACCAGGCAAGCAATCCTGCTGCCAGCACCACCAGGTCACTTCAGGAGCTCGGTGACCTTGCTCACCCAGTTAGCCTCTTGAAGACTTAACCTGCCAATTGAACATACTCCTTTCTCCTCTACTACCTCTCTTTTTGTTCAGCGTTCACCCCCCGCACATGCCAAGAGTCACTCCTAAGGGCAAGGAGTGACTGTTGATTTGCCTGATTGTTGTCCCTCCACTGCCAACAACAGATTTAAGAGCAGAAGTACGCGATGTAACTGATGGTGCTTTTGCACCCATTAACTGACAGCCCTGGAATCACTTATGTCTGAACCTTTGGGTATAGGAAATGCTCTCAGCTGCAGGAAACGCTATGATTGATTCATAGGCAACAACCTTATGAGGAATAAAACATTGTTTTCTTTCAAGTTCGTTTCTAGGGACTGCTGCGTTACCGTGTACTACTCAGTATTTATCCCGGCAACCCGAACAGAGTATATGAGTCTCAGAGACAGTCAGGTGTGGGCATATGATCACAGTACCTTGCACAGCGCCTCTAAAAAGCAGATATCCAATAAACGTTTATGGGTGCATGCTCCTCTATCCAGTGAGAGCACTGGAACAGAAGCCAAGAATTCAATGGTGAAAAACCAAAATCAACCCTCATCTCCAAAAGGCTGCAAGCAGAACAGTGGTTCTCTCCTTTGGGAGATAAGAACCACCTGGGGATCATTTTATAACTACCGATTCCCTAGCCCCATCCACGCTTAGTTTTAACAAGCACCCGAGGTCACTCATTTAACAAATACCCAGGTGGATCTGTGGCCCACATTCTTAGAAATACTTTTTTCCTCTGCCCCAACAATCTTTTTGTTTTCACTCAACACAACCACTCACAATCCTCCTCCTACATTTTTGTCCAGAGGCCGTGACAGTCACACGCTGCCCCAACAGAAGGTCAGAAGACAGCCAAGTGCCAAGAATTGCCTTGTTGACTTTGTGTTTTCAAAACAAAACACGAATACAAAAGCCATCATCTGTGTTTGCTATGCCCCACTGTTTACACCCAAAATCCAATCCAATCTCCTTCACAGACTTGTAGCCGCCTCTTCTCCAACTTTCGCCACGCAAGTATTTCAGGGAGCGGCAAACATCCTCAGGATCTCAGGGCACACACCCTAGATGCAAACTCAGTTGCCCAGTGTTGCTCTGACTCCTATCCAACCAACACTCAAAGATTCGCACCGCGCGGCACGCACCCAGCACGTTCCAGTGTAAACGCTGCTCGGGTCCCAAGCGCGTCTCCAAACCCCTCCTTTACGGCGCCGCCTCCCCAGTAAGCCCCGGTGCGCAGTGGCGAACAGTCCGCAGAGCCCCCAGGCTTACCTGTAGCATGTGGTGAGCTCGCCTGTAGGCTTCAGACACGGGTATTTAGTCGTCGCGATTTTACTCTCTGAGCAGATTTCTCTACGAAAAAGTCCAGAGGAAACGTTTGATTCTCAGCGAGAGAGCGGAGGCGGGCAGTGCGCGCTGGGGAGTCCCTGGCGCGTGGGGGATGGCCGGGCTCCGCGTCCCGGCGCGCTGGGCAGCGGCTGGTCTCCAAACGCGTACGCGGAGCAGACTCCGGGCACAGGGACGAGCCAGGCGAGGGTCACGAGGGAGCGAACCAGTTTCAGGAGAAAGGAAGCGGGGTTCACGAGCTGTGCCCGCCGGTGTGGTACCCGGGGGAGGCAGGAACGCTAGACGGAGGGTATCCCAGACGCGACCCACGGATGGCAGGGCGCATAGGCTGATACCCGGGAGCTAAGGGAAGTGTAGCCCAGGACAGCTGAGCACTCTCCTTACGGCCAGAGGAGTGAGGGCGTGCGGATCGCTGCGGGAGTGGGCGCCGAGGAGGACCGCCGGCACCCTGGCGAGCCGGACGCGCATCCAGCAGGAGCTCGCCCTCCGCTGGGGCTTGCAGCGCTTACCTGTCGCCGTCCTCCGGCTCCTCTCTGTAGGTCCACGTGTGTCCCAGCGCCAGGAGCAGCAGCAGCGGACCCAGGCTCCTGCCCAGCTGGCCCCTGGCAGCTCCTCCCCGGCTCGGAGGCGGCGGCACCATCAGGGAAGCTCCCGGCTTCTTCCCAGAGCCGAGCTCTGTCCCGGCCCCGCGTCCTGCTCCTCCGCGGCCGCCGCCTTCCCTCTTCCCGGCAGGGGGCGCCGGAGAGCAGGGGCGTTTGCACCACCTGCACGGGGAGCAGAGATCCGGAATATTATGTGGCTGGGGAGAAAATAAGGCTAGGAGTTGGGGTGCCAGCAGAGAGGCAGGTAAAGGGGGTACCTGCGGTGTCCGGCCGGCACGAGGGCCCTGAGGTCCAAGTTGTCTCGTCGGGACGTTCACGCCGGATTGACAGACTTGCCGGACTCGGCTTGGGGCTGCGTCCTCGACTCTTCCCTCTCCCTCCTCTGGGAGAACCGCGCAGGGTGGGGAAAGCGGGCGGTTGTTTGCATTCTGCACCAGGGTCGAACGACCGGGAGGAGGAGGAGCTGATTCTCCACTGAGGAGAAGAGGGAGGGGGAGGAGAGGGGTTAATAAGCTTCCTTCCTGTTGTCCATGGGTGTCTAAAGCCCAGGGTCAGGCCAGTGTTCACCTTTCCTCCTTGAAGACCTACCCTGCGCTTTTCAACTATCTTAGTCTTCTTTTCTTTTAGATTATGTGAGGAAGGGGGAGTTGAAAGGCAAACGGGCCTCTCAAATTGTTCAAACCTGAAATAGCGGTATTTATATAGTATAATCACTCTTCCTTAAAACCTTTAGAAGAAATTTCTCTGGTTGTTTCATTGGTCAATAAACTATGCTCTGTCTTCTTCATAACTCGAGTTCGGAACAAGTAAGGAGGTCTTTCTGGGAGCCTTACATCGTCCCCTCAGCGGCGTTAATACTGTTTCCATGCCGAGCACATCACAGCTGGAAACGCTCCCTCCCCCATCAAATGAGACGCGTGGGGGCAAATGAATTACAGGTGCTGCTACCTGCTAGTGTATGCAGCCGCGTTTATAGGTAACAAGAAAACGGAGGAGGGGAGCCCTAGTTGTAATTCGCGTGTCAGCAACTTAACACTTTGTTGCTCTTTAGGAGTTTTCTCAGCCCTTTCAAGAGAAACTGGGGACGTGGATGTGGCCCAGAAATAAGTTGGAAAAGGAAAAGTTCTAATGCCTAAGCTCTAAAATATGCATGGTTCTGCATCTCACAGCACTACGAAGTGAGGTGAAAAGGTGGCTTGTTGACAAGTGACCGGTGTGTAAGTTGGTTAGGTAAGCACGTGTTTTGATAAACAGAATATCCTGGTCAACTGAGAATTACGACACATATCACATACACATTTATTTATTTTTATTTTTATTTTTATTTTGAGATGGAGTCTCGCTCTGCCACCCAGGCTGGAGTGCAGTGTCTCAATCTTGGCTCACTGCCACCTCTGCCTCCCGGGTTAAAGAGATTCTCCTCCCTCAGCCTCCCAAGTAGCAGGGATTACAGACGCATGCTACCACAGCCGGCTCATTTTTGTATTTTCAGTAGAGACAGAGTTTCACCATGTTGGCCAGGGTGGTCTTAAACTCCTGGCCTCAAGTGATCTGCCCAACTCAGCCTCCCAAAGTGCTGGGATTACAGGCATGAGCCATAGCAGCCAGCCCACATTGATATATTTGATAGCAATGACATTCTTATTCTTCTGTAGAATGCTATGTCTTTTCCTAAGATTTTTCATATTCCAGATTTTATTTGGTTCCCACAATATCCCTTCAATCTAAGCATTTGATTTCTTAGTTCGGTGAGGTGCGTTTTTGTTGGTTTATTTTACAAAACTTACATATTGGGAAGACCACCCACTTGATTTTAAAATATGACACTGCTACTTAACACAAATAAGTTAATTTTTATTTGATAATTCAGAAGACATTTCAGAATGTTGCAAAACTGGAGAGTGATCATCATGAGGTCAGAAAAAAAAAACTTACCATGAGGTCAGAAAAAACTGGATTCAAATTCAGGCTGTTTGGTTTCCTAGAGGAGTGATCTGAAGCAAGTTACTTAACCTTCTGACACTCCGTTTTCTCATCTGTAAAATGGGGAAATATCTCTCATCAATTTTTACGAGTATTAAATGAAGTAATAACTACATTACTATATAAATCTATAGCATTTTGTTTATCATGCCTGGCATATATTGAGTGCCCAGTAAACATTATTACTTGTAACATAATTATTGTATTGCACACAACTTTAAGTTTTTGCCTTCTAGCTTTCTAGCTTTTCACTTCCTAGATATATAGGAATCCATTTGATAACAGTTGTTTGGGTTCCTAAAGAGAGACCTCACTAAGCACATGAGAAAGCCCTTCTGGGGTTTATGATAATTGTATCTCTTCAGATTGTGACCAAAAACTGTTAGATTTCCATCTTGGGAGGGAGACGCCATCTTGTAGGAGGTTCCATTTTTAATTCGTTACCAATTACTGTATTTTGACAACTTGCTGCCTTTTTTCTCATCTTTACTCATTTTATTCTTCTACTGTTGCATTGTGGATGTTAGTTCTACAGTAATAGAGCATGGTGTAGAAGATTAATTATCAGTTTCATTAAACAGTTACTAGGCTACAAGTGTAGACCTGCAGCATTTCAGGGAAAGTGATTCAGGCTGCAAAATAGCAGCAAAACCATTATACACAGCTGTGTGGCAGAAGATTGGCATCAGAGCCTACTTTGCCGCCTTTTTATCTTCAGCTCCTGGTGCTGAGCGCCTATGAGAATGAGGGGTTAGAGAAGGTGCTGGGGCCCAGCAAACAGCTCAGGTTTGCACAGGGAGGAAATCCCAACGGTGGGTGGTCAGAGCATTTCATACATTTCTGCAAGGGGTGAGCTGGAGCTGAAACCTTCTGAAAAAACTTTGTCTAGAGGCCTGTAATTTCAACCTACTGGCAGCTACTGACAGCATGGGGTGCATGGAGGGGTTGCTGGTCCGGGGAGCACTGCCAAGCTGGAAAGAGCTATGGATGGCCATATATGGATACTTGCCCCCGAGAAACTAAATACTCCTGTAGAAGACAAAACCTGCACTGCCCAGGATGCGGGCTGCATGGGAGATGTCAGTGCTGGGGCTGACTGTGGTGGGAGCCTTAAGGGTGCTGAGTTTTCTTTCCTCCCTTCTAAACCATGCGCAAGCCCAGACCTGCCCTGTCCCCTCACCTATGAAACACTGGCCTGAGAGAACTTTCCATCCACCTCTTTCGTAGGAGTGTTACAAAGATTAATGATAGGGCCCTAAATGGTCCTTGAGGGAGGCTGTGTGTGATTATGTGATTATTTCTTTTCAGCATACCACTTCTCTGCAAAGTTTTTCATAAAGATCTGTCAGTTTCCCTGAAACAAACCAGAGAGTGGATAGTTACACAATTTACTGTGTCCTGTGACGTGGGGCTGTGTCTGGGGCTTTCTAGTGCATACTATGTTATAGGTTAGAGTCCCTGGTAGACCAGGTATTGTTAAGTAGTACTGCTGCATGTTGCCTGGGGGTGGGGTGACTGGCTGGAGAATAGAGAGAGGACTGCGTACAAAAGTAAAGTGAAAGGAAAAAAGAAAAGTAAACACCAGGCCACAGGGCAGAGAATATGCTTCTAAATAAAACCAATGGTCTCTTCTCAGTTTTAAGGGACTCCAACATCTTATTTGGAGAAAATCGGGATGTAAAGAACAGACCACCACCAATTGGGACAATTCATTTCACTATTTAAAGATTTTCCTATAAAAAAGATTTGTGATGGTTGACAAAAACTATTTTATCGTGTGTGTGTGTGTGTACATAGGTACACAAAGTGTATGTAGTATTGGGCAAAATTAGATAAAGAAATTAAGGCAAAGGAAAAATCAGGATCAAATAATAAAATAAAGCTGATGTTATGTTAATTGGCAGGGCTGTATAAGCAGAAAGTCCTGGGCCACGTTTCAAGCAGATCACAAGTCAGTTCTCAAATTCTCAGAAGTCAATTCAGGATAATTACATGATCAGTCATGAGATTCAAGGTAACCATAAAAGAAAAGTCTATAAATTGCTTAGAAAAAAATGACAGATTATTCCCCCAGTCTCCCTGAAATATAGCAACAGTCACCTAACTATAAGGTAAGGTGAAACAAGGCTCAACAAGTGTGGGTAAAGTTCATATTGTACTGTGAGTGATAGACATATGATAAGATATCCCTAAAATAAACAGATTGCCCTGATACCTTTCCTTCAGTTTCATTTTTGATTGACGTATATAGCCAGGTCTGCTTAGAGAATTAGGGTTACATCTTGGAAGGTGTGAAAGGGTGCCAGTCTCCAAACCATTGTAGGGGACTGTTTGAGGCAAGGAGAATAAGAAGTTTTTAAAACAGTAAATGGATGTTAAAGCCCTGGTTTTGGGGTGTGTACATTACATTTGCACTAAGCCTGTCTTAGTTTTAACTTGCGCAAATTCTGAAAGTTGACTGAAGCTGTTGGTCTCTGGAATTTTCTCCCAAGGCAGGAAGAAATGTCTGATTCCCGTGTCCATAATAGAATCACACCATTTTTGCCCAATTTTGAAATAAAAGCGATTTTCAAAGATTAGTTAGCTTTATATGTGGGTAGGCCACTCAAAAAATGTACAAATAGAAAAAAGAGAAACTTCATGCTACATGATTATCTCCAAAAATATCAAGAAAAATTATGCATGTGATTTGAATGTCTTATTTGGTCTCGAAAGTTCTACCACACAGGGGCCCAGTCTAGGTTTTCCCCCAAAGCAGTATCTGTTGAGGCAATATGAGTTGGCAGTCTCCTTGACCAATCAAGAGCTATAGGATCAAACCTGGAATTTGGGGTGGACAAGTGTGTTCTATAGCCACTCAATTCTGCAGCTCCCTTTGCAACAAATAGAAATGGCAGGAGCTGCAGCTGGTCTGACCCATCTCTTGTCCCCATGAGCATGAACAAGGAATGACAAGGGGCCAGCAGCAGATGTCGGGCCACTGGCCCATGCTGTGAAGTCCCTGTTTTAAAAAATGGATTTGAATCACCCAAGGACTTATGAGCTGACTCCTTTGAGTGTCTGTCATTCCAATGCCAACAACATTTCTTTTATTTTTGGAGAACAAACTCTGTTTATCTCCCTTAACTCCGTGAGGGTAAGAGTTACTTAATGTTTATTAAGAACTGGGAGATACTTCACTCAGTAATATGGTATCAAGTCAATTTCACAGGTAATAATGCTGACTTTGAAAGTATTTTGATTTGAGCCAAGATATCTTTTATGGTGGAATAAATACAACTCTACTACCCATGCCAGCAGAGGATGCTAATTTAAAACATTTTTTTCCTCTGGATATGAGGTTGACCTTACTTTCCTCTTTTAAAAACTGGGCTTAGAAAAATAGCACTGGGAGTTGGGAAAAAACTAGACTTAAAGTAAGTTTTACATTGGTTTGAAATTCAGTTCTGCCACCTAATACCGCTGTGACCCTGAAACATTTGCTTCATCTTCCTGTGACTCAGTTTATCCACAAATAAAACAGAATGACAATATCCATCTCATAGAACTGATGAAAAGAGTAAATGAGATATAACAAGCCCATCACATCAG